TTAAAATATTGTATTTTGTGTTTGAATAATTTAACACAGTCAAAAAGAAAGAGATTTATATTCGGTGCAGTTTCTCTACTTCCAAGAACAATAAAAGCAAACAGGACTAGGAGAATGTGCCTGAGTCTCCAGGACACCCTTCCTTCTGTGCAAGCCCCACAGCATCTTAACAGACCAATAGAGTTGACGATGCCTCATTGCAGGTGACACAAAATAACATGAGAAAGTCTGGGGGTCACCACGATGGTAGCAGTGAGTGCCTGACCCAGTCCAGGAGCAGCCACTAGTGCAACAATGGCCAAAGAAGTGGAGATGAAGCTGGTGGCAGCGGTAGCAGCCTCTCCAGCTGGAGACGGGCACCTGTTGTCCTATGAAAATGGTTTATAGTTGATATATCTGGCAAAGATATGTCAATGATAGTGGCACATTTCATCCAGAAGCAAGCAAACATGAAGGAAATGTCCCTCAGTGCTTTGGTCAACCTGGCATGGCAGTCCCCAACACAGGATGAATATTATACCATTTCTTGATAAATAATGGGAGTGCATGATGATCATTCAGACACCTGGGGAAATGACTAGGCTGAATAACATTGTTAAAACAATGAGGAAAGAAGGAGATTTATTCCTGGTAAAGAAACACCTGGATCCAGGGAGTAAAGACCTAAAAGACGATTGCCCAAGATGTGGACTTTTGGATCAGGACCTTGGTAACACAGATCCTGTTTATGACAACCAAAAGCAAAGCAGTGCCCTGTCTATGAGTAGGAATCTGAATGGGGGAACTGAACAGGAAGCAGTAGAAAAGAGGAAGAAGAGCTTAGTGCTAACAGCAGGATGAGATCTCAGAGAACACCAAGCAGGTCCAGAGTGACACTTTGCTTTCTGCTCAGTGCCTTCCCTCTTACAACTTTTAGAACACCCATTTAACAAAGATGGCTACTGGTGTGTTCTAACTGAGCCTGATCCACACACCCTTGGTCCTCAGAAGGTTGAAGACTTTCAGGCAGGAGAACTTATTCCTGGAAACCTCCACAGTGACTGCTTCTATGAACAGGTTTTGTTAGCCTAACTTGATTGAACTCCCCAGGTAAAGATCTCCAATGGCCAGCTGGCTGTCTGTGGTTGGAAGGAAGGGGTACTCTATAAGGCCTCTCTCCACGGGGCATAGAAAGGGACCTGGTACTTTGAAATCACCGTAAATGAGTTGTCACCAGACACTGCTGCCAGACTGGGTTGGTCTCAGCCCTAAAGTAAACATCTATCTCCCTTAGGTTATGATAAATTTAGCTATTCTTGGCAGAGCAAAAGGGAACCAAGTTCCACCAGTCCACAGACAAACAGTACTCTTCTAGCTTTGGGCAGGGACACATCCTGGGATTTATATTAATCCTTCTGATCTGAAGACACAAAGACAGTCAAGTTATTGCCTGATAAGGGCTTGATAGAGTACAAGAATTATTTGTATTTTGAGGAAGAAGACATTTTGGATAAAGCACAGAAAAGCCTAAAACAGATTCTGCACAGTAAAATAATATTTTATAAAAATTGTATCAATTAAGATGTTGCTTAAAAAGATATTTTTGAGGGGGTTGATTTCCAGCCATCTCACTGGAAAACAGCTGCATGGTTTGCATTAACTTTGGACTGTGCTACAAGTGTCCTCCAAAGGATCTCACTCACTCCCCTATGAGTGACATGGGCTGGGACGCTGTGGTAGAGCACACTCTGGCTGACGTTTTGTATCTCCTGGAGACAGAAGTGGATGGGAGGCACAGTCCTCCATGGGAACCCTGAGTAGGTCCCTCCTTCTTTAAAAATATGGACTTTCTGGGGAATAATACTGAATGGCTTCTGTTGCTGTTGTTTTTGAACTGTCTCAGATGTTTTCTCAAAGATGCTACAGAACATAGCATATCCACTTAACAAGTTAAAAGTCTGAATGAGACTGTGAGAGATACCCTGCTCATCATCATTCTTCTTCCACTTTCAGTGACTGCTCTTATTTTGTGTGCTACAGGCTAACAGCTACTGAACCCAAGATCTTGTAATCCCTCTGTAAAACTGGTGCTGTGCTGCATACTTTGCCAGCTGGGACTTTTTATCTTACTTTATTTTCTAAGGAGTGAATTGTCTTGTCCAAATAACTAACATATTCAAAGACATTTCCTCTGTGGGCACTGATTCCCTGCTATCTGTTTTCCAAGGAAGTGCTGAGTTTATTTCTGAGAACACCTGAAATCAGTGGTTGTCCCTTCGAAACCAACCAAAAAGTGATTGCCTTTGGTGTGGGTTAGGTTTTGTTATTGATTTTAAAACATATCTTTGAACACTGACATCTCTGAAACTACTAGATCTCTAGAAGTGTAATTGTGAAAGAAGCTTGCGGCCGGGCGCGGTGGCTCACGCCTGTAATCCCAGCACTTTGGGAGGCTGAGGCGGGCGGATCACGAGGTCAGGAGATCGAGACCATCCTGGCTAACACGGTGAAACCCCGTCTCTACTAAAAATGCAAAAAAAAAATTAGCTGGGCGCGGTGGTGGGCGCCTGTAGTCCCAGCTACTTCGGAGGCTGAGGCAGGAGAATGGCGTGAACCCGGGAGGCGGAGCTTGCAGTGAGCCGAGACCGCACCACTGCACTCCAGCCTGGGCGACTGAGCAAGAGACTCCGTCTCAAAAAAAAAAAAAAAAAAAAAGAAAGAAGCTTGCTTGCAGTTTTGACAAAATGAGAAACTCTTCCCAAATAAAACTTGTTTTGAAGTTAAAGAAAAGAATAATGTGAGATTGGAACCTGGGAGGTCTGAAGATTCCAAAGAGCTCACTCAATTCTGAAGCTGATTGTAAGATAAGGGCTAACAACAGCCCTTCACTTCTTATGATTCCCTGGAAGGACTCACATAACTCACTGAAAACTGTGACATTCATTAATATAATTTTCCTACATCAAAATAATACAGGTTAAAATAATTCAAGGGAAGAGGCACATAAGCAGAGTTCAGGAGAATTCCAAGCACAAGCATCCAGTTGTCTTCTCCCAGTGGAGTAATAGACAATGCTGCATTCTGTTGGCAACAATGTGTGATTGTATGTAGGAAGCATTGCCAACCAGGAAAGCTCACCCAGGCTTGGCTTCCAGACTTTTCAGTGGTGGGGTAGGTGAGAGTGAGATCATTATGCAGACCCTGTTGATCATCCTTATAGATGACTTGAGGGTCCACTGAATTGACAATAAAACTTCAACCTTCCTCCTTTGGTCATTTTCTTTTTAAAAATTCTCTAAAGTAAATTATTTTAAAAATTCTCACTTAAACCAGCTGTTTATTTAATATGAGACTGCACACAAATAGTTTCAAAAAGTCAGTAGGTCATTAAAACAATTGTTTAGCCATTCAAACCATTCAGATAACAATGAACGCCATGTAGCACTAAAATCAAATTATAGTCACAGGGGCAGGATTTCAGCAATAGCAAGAGAAAGTAGAACAAATAGGAATGAGCAAAGAATAGACAAGTAATGGGTGTGAATTGGCCTGGAAAATATTGTGGTGATGTCCACAGATAAATCAATAGTTATTTGTTAAACAAGTGTAAGACCACGCATTCTCAGTCCAGGAAAGCCACCAGGGGGCGGTCGGGGTCTTTTCGATTATAAGAAGCTTAAGAGGTTCAAACTTAATGAACCCTGCACAGTTGCTCACTGACTCATGTAAATGTTAAAGCAGCTGCTTCCTCCCACAGGGCAAATCCACAGCACACAGCCACCCTGGGCTGGCCCTTTACAGGGTAGCTGCTCTCAGGGCTGTGGATCTAGGTGGTGGTAAAGGCAGTGAAGATTTGCATACAGCAGCACACAACACACTCCCTCCCTGTGGAGAGCTCAATAGGAGATAAAGAGCCATCAGAATCCAGCCCCAGCTCTGGAGCCAGGGATCCCTTCCAATACCAGCACCATGGCCTGGACTCTGCTCCTCCTCCAGTTCTTTCTCACTTGCTGCCCAGGTTAAGAGAGATTTCAAATACCAGCCTTTGGAGGGATCCTTGTGTCTCCCCTTCTAATTTCTAACATGTGTCTGTTTTTTGTTTCAGGGTCCAATTCTCAGGCTGTAGTGACTCAGGAGCCCTCACTGACTGTGTCCCCAGGGGGGACAGTCACTCTCACCTGTGGCTCCAGTGCTGGAGCAGTCACTGGGAGGCATTATCCCTACTGGTTCCAGCAGAAGCCTGGCCAAGCCCCCAGGACACTGATTTATAATACAAACTTCAAACACTCCTGGACTCCTGCCCGGTTCTCAGGCTCCCTCCTTGGGGGTAAAGCTGCCCTGATACTGTCAGGTGCACAGCCCGAGGACGAGGCTGAGTATTACTGTTGGCTGCACTATAGTGGTGCTCAGCACAATGACAGACTCATAAAAGGAACCAAGACATAAACCTCCCTAGGCCCTTGTGATGTGGAGATCAAATGATAAGACATACCAGCTCCCAAGACAGACTACATGGGGAGCAGCCATAGAAAGGGGAAGGAAAGGGTCTGAATTGATTTCTATCTCTGCTTGAGCCCTGAAGTGGAGGGAATGTGAGAGTGATTTGCTGTAATTGAATCAGAAAAAGTGAAAGTTAATTGTTATATATATATATATTTATAT